TTTCATTGATATTTATTTTATTCAATATGGTTGTAATAATTTAATTAGTCCTATGCTTCATCTCCATTTGTAAATTATACCTCCATCCCCCAAGTGATGTAATAGTTTAGGATTTTAATTTCTGCAATTTATCGCTTTAATATAATTGTTAATAATTAGAGTGTGTTTGGTAAGATAAAATCAATTGTTAGAAAACCCAAATCTCAAAGACAAAAATGCATGCAATCAAACACACTTCACACACGCGCACCTCTAGGGTAACCTCGCTTATTGCCTCGGAAAAATAGTCATGTTCCTCGAATGTGGGACGCTTTAGAAAAGACCCTCAAATGAAAATATCGTAGTCCCTCGATGACTCTTCGATGTTTCCTTCAGTAAAACGATCTTAGTCCCTACGAAAAATTTCTAAAGTGTCTTAAAAGTTGCCTTCTATGACTATACGACGACCCACACCCATCACTTCACATCCAATGATATGGCTTCTTATCAATCAATGGTAATATAACAACATCTAAAGGAGGAGGAAAAGAAATAAGACCCTTTTGAGTAGGTAGAACGTTCATAGTTGCTTGCTTACAACATTTTTCAAAAGCAACATCTTTCAAAATACACCAACACTTTCAAAACATGAAATATCTTCAAAAAGACAAAACTTTGTATACATTCTTATAGAAACGAGAATTATTACAAAGTTTTCCTAAACAATGGCACTTTTCAAAAATACTTTCAAAACCCATCACAAGCACATTTCAAACAAAGCATTTTCAAAGTGATCAAGCAACTAAGAGCTCGTAGATAACTATGGATGAAAAATGTGCTAACACTTTCTCTTTTCATAACCTACCCCCTGAACTCAAGAAAATATCTCAAAAGGTCTTTCCTGTTCTTTTCACCCTTTCCTTTATTGGATAAAAGAAAAGTCGGTGGCGACTCTTGCTATCCGCAACAATTACGATAAAACACAAAACACCCAAGTCAGTTCTCCCACCGTATTACCCGCTTGAAACCCTTATTTTTTCGTGAGTAGAAAATTCTATATGATAGATTGCAAGAGAAGGAAATTATTTGGGTTAATGTTTGTTTTATGTGGAAAAAAATTGAGCAGAAAGTCATTTACTTATCTGACCCTTATTTATCTAACTTTTTTTTGTTTTATATCAGAGACAAATGCAAAGAAAAGTCATAGAAAATATTTTGCACCCAACATTTTCTCTTCCCGACACCAAACATTTATTCGAAGATCTAAGATCTAAATCTTAAGAAAAATTAATTTTTAATGTAATAATCTCTGTAAACAATGTAATATTAATAATAAACAATGTACTTTATAAACAAATTAATGTATTAGTATTATGGATAAACAGTGTAACAATTTTAAAAAAATTAATCCGACCCCTCGATTTTATTTGTAAACTGAGATATAAGATATGTTAATCTTGAAAATAATAAAAATGAAGTTGTTGGGATTCGAACCCATATGCGTATAACTTTATCTCTCGATTAATATTCCACCAAGGTGATAAGTGGCGACTTATCATGATGACCTTCGCTACCTCGTTTCTTTAGCTGAGGCAAAATGTATTTCGTGTCCGAGATTTAAAAGCGGTTTTGGTAATAGTGAAGACACCAATTTGTTTAAGGAAGATGATCAATATCCTGAATTATCACGTTAAATTATCCCCTTTGTTTTGTTAAAAATCGAGGTGAAAAAACTTCTTTTTTTTATATTACATTATTTACACAGAATATTAAAACACAATATTACAACAAATCCATATTCTTAGAGAACAACAAATCTTTGCTGTAAGGAGTTATTTATTCCAAATATTGGAAAATATTATATGGATTACATGCATCTAACTTCTAAAGGAGTTATCTATCCCAACCATTAGAAAATGTTTTTCTACACTTGCAATCCATCATAGAGAATTTTTTCAAGTTTTTTAAGTTCCAAGATTTCATTATATTGAACAAATGTTTTCATGGCAAGATTCCATTTTTGGGAATAAATTTCTCAATGTGGTCAATCGAGGAAACCAAAAATGTTTTATTTGATTGACAATATTGAAAGGTTATTCCGAAAATACAACAACAACAACAACAACACTATTATGTGAGATAAATTGCAATGGTAGAAAAAATATTTTATAAGATAGAAGAACATTGAATATTTTTTGTCTTGCATTTCATCCCAAAGAATGATGCATATGAGTTTGGGAAGGCCACATATAAGTTAGGACTAGGATAAAATTTGTTTAACGGGTGATTTTATAGTAAAGTTTTATTATTTTATCCCTTGATTATTAAGTAAACCGAGGAGATAGATCATTTACAAATAAAAAATAAAATAAAAAGAAAAGTTCCTAAATTGTTTTTCCCATCGGTTATAAGAAAAACCGAGGTAATAAGTGAATTGTCCTTTCAGTTATAAGAAAAACGAAGATAATATGTGATTTTTATTTCTAAAAAAAAATAAAACATGGCGCACGCATATCACTAGAATAACAATAATCATCTATATTCAAAATAAAATGTACCTTTTGGATTTTCAAGGAGGAGTTTGAGCTTATCTGATTGTTTCACTTCATATTCTCCATTTTATTTAAACATTATTTCTAGTTTGAATGTCTCATTTCCAACTCTTTGTATCTTCAAATCTAGATTCAAGTCTTTTATTTTCTTCAAAAATGTCTTCAAAATCCTTAGATGAAAATCTTTTGTTCGTTATTAATGAAAATTTTGTTGATTTCGATGATTTAAAAGACAAATGTTTTGATCTGAAGAAAACTATTTCCAAATAAAAGTTGAATGGTTACTTTGACATTCTTCTTAGATCCATCTACACTAATATCATTAAATAGTTCTGGTAAAATGTCTCCGTTATGCCATCTGGTCATGATGTTGAGTCAATCCAGTCTTATATTGATAGCTCTCATATCACCATTACTCCATCACTTATTGCCCAAACAATAAACTATGAATAGAAAGGTAATTGTGTTGAATATTATAGATTCAACAATGTCTACGCAATCCGCCATCGCCTAATTTATGCCAACTACGATAAATTCACCAGTCCTGTCACTCTACTCCCAATTGCAAAAGTTTGATATCAACTTCTAGTATCAAATCTCCTTCCAAGAGAGAAACAACTCGAAACGCTTACTTGGGATGACAAACATCTCTTGTATTTTCCTATCCACAACGTCAGAGTTCATCTCCCTCTTACCATTTTTAACTTCTTAAAGTAAATGATAAGCATCTCTCGGGAGAAAATGACTTTCCTCATACCATATGGAAGAGTTCTTTCTAAACTTTTCTCTCAGTTAGAGATAGTTAATAGAGATACGGTTGAAATTGAGCAGAGTCAGAAGTTTGAATATGTTGAATAGTTATCTGTTGTCCTGTTATTTGTAATCCGTAATTGATTATCAATGAAATATTTATTTTTCTATTATTTCTTATTATTTTTTAATTGATAACAAAGATTTTGAGAATTACTAATTAACAAAAAAAAAATAAAGAAAAAAAATCTAAGAAAAAAGGGAAGCTAGAAAGGCATCAAATGAGAAATCAGTGAAAAAAAACTTTAAATGCATTAAGAAAAATTTGAAGCGAGATCCCTTATAAACTATATTTCATTGGTTTTTCAAAAACCGAGAGGATAGATTTGTTATTATTTTTTATGGATAAAACACGACACTTACTTATAGCTATGTTACTTTAGTTTTTGAGAAAACCGACGGAAAAAGTTATTTATTTATAAATAAAAAAATCAAACATAACGCTCCTAAGACCTATACCCTCGGTTTTTAGCAGGTTTAAAGTGAAAGCTCCATTATAAAAAATATTATTGATAGTAGTGATGATATTTGATGCTCTTGTTTATTTCAAAAAATAGTGAAGAACGAAGGATTATGACTTATATCCAAGTGATTAAGATCAAGTTTAGAGTTTTTTTAAAGAACAAAAGGAGAGAACAGAGAAAATGAACTAGAAACATATAGAAATATGGGTGACCCATAATTTGCAATTACACTCTTATTTCTCAGGGCCAAAAATAAGCAGAAGAGCAAATAAGCCAGAAAAACATGGCCTTTTACAGGTGACTCGTAATTAGGAATTAGTGTTGTAAAACCTTTTACACCCCCTAATGAAACCATATTACAGGCATAAAAGTCCCAAGGCCAAAGAATTTTCCAACTTCTTATATGCTATATACTAAGTGGGCATGGCGTTATGAGAAATTATCACATATTATTAGGGTGTTTAGGCTATACAAACAAGTCGCTAGTTTCAGTTTATTCTCTTATCAACTTGTTAGAATTCACTATTATGGTCCATCACCAATGTGGAATGAACTATGTGTTTGAATTTTGAAATAGCAAAAGGTAGTACAAGTGAATTAGCAAGCCATGTGCCACTAAACAGAACATGTGGGGAATACAACAGAACAAGCTAACAAAACAAACTGAAAGGCTGTAATGCATACAGCATGAAGAATAAACATCCAATTATTTAAGTAGTTGTTGATTACAAATGATCTATAAAATAAACATAATGGAGCATGTGATCTCCATTTATTTTGCATGCTTATAGAAAACCAACTAAATTTGTTATTCTCATTCTGTTAAAGATCACTCCAACGCCATCGCTAACATAAAACCCAAAACATACATAAATTTTAACATTTAAGAAAGATCCAAGTCTTCTATGGTTAACTCCAAAGTCGCTACACTTTGATGGATACAAGAAGAGGTTTACAAAGTAAGGTCCTTGAAATGAGAAGATTAAAACATTATGTACTGACTAGGGGACCTTAATAGAAGTACTCATCAAAATTAATTAATTAATCAACTGCCCATCTTTTTAAAACCAACACAAGAACCGGCAGAATTAGGTGGAGAGAAAAAAAAACAAAAAAAAAACTAGTAACATCTCAGTGTTCAATAATACCTAGAAAATAACACCCATTCATACACTGACACATGGCTTTTTTAACCCTACCAAAACATAATGAAAATAGAGAAAAGTGGAATTGATAAGAAACTAGTGTCCAAAAGTCTAATCCCACCATGACTATCATCATTCATTCCTCCAGATCCAGATGGCCCCATACCAGTTCCAATACCTCCTAACACTCCTGGAGATGTGTTGTATGGAGTAGTACCCGTGCCCGTGCCGGTGCCGCTGCCAGTGCCGGTGCCCATACCACTGCTGGTGCCGGTGCCGGTACTTGTGGATGGGGTGGTGCCGGTTCCCATGGAGGGTGTAGTGGTGCCTGATGATGGGGTTGTTGTGCTAGTGCCTGCACCACTGAAACCAGCAAACATATAAATTAACATTATTATTTTTTAAGACAACATTTCCATTAGTGCAACATTAGGGACAAACTAGTCTTTTTAACGATGATGTTAGCGTGTTGTTATTCCAAAAAGAAATTCAAACTTTATCAAGCATCGAATCTCAATAATTGCAGCATCTTTCATTTAAGTTAAAAGTTCAGAGTCACTGCAACGGCTATAATCACCAATCAATGGTCAATAAGTCATCACTGTAGTTGAAAATTGAATCAAAAAAAGTTTATACACGTAAGATTGGACCACACATGTCAAACAAAAATAAATAAATATAATCGAGAAAACTGATTTAAGACCGCTAGATTATCTTTTTTTACTTTCACTTAGCAATAGATTTTTAGTCTTAAATACTACTATAAGCTAGTACATGGACCACCACTAATAAGAATTTCAAAATCATGCTTTATAGAGGAAAGAAAAAAAATACCTTATCATCATCATGTTCAAAATATAATAAATTTGCACCGATTAATTCTTTCAATGTTCATGTACGGCAAGTAAAAAAAGTAGTACTAATAGTAAAAGTAAATGACTTCAATGAAAAAGGTTTCAAAATGATGTTACATTATACTCCTCTATGCAAAAACAACAATGTCATGTGAAAGCTTCTTCAAAATTTAGATTTAAAAATTATCAACTACAAATATGCCTGTTGTAAAGGTTGTCCCCACTCATCCCTAATCTTTAGGATAAACAAAAGTAAATAAAAGACACGGCTATTGTCCTTAAGATTCTTTAAAAATAAAAAACAAATAACAATGTTGAAGGTTGAAAGAGAGAATGGAAAAACAAGTTTACCTGGCACTTGAAGGGAAGACACAGCCACTAACACCTGCAGAAGAAGAAGAAGAAATGAAAGGTGTTAGTTACTATTATTAAAAACAGGAAGAGAAAAAAGAGAGTGAGGATTTTTACTTGGGTCAGATGCAACAGGAGTGGCTGTTCCTGCAAAGTCACAAGTTCCTGGTGCTTGACCTTTCTTCTGGAAGTAGCTGTTCACAGCGTAGCTGCAGTGAGCTCTGACTGTGTTTGGTTGGAAACAAGGAGCGTTTTGATGGAGAGGGTTACAGTCAGCTCCAGCTCCACAAGCATAGTCCAAGGTTTTCTGCAAAACTGCATCACTTCCATCTTTGCAAACGCACCAATTAGCACCTACATTTAACAAAGTTAAGATAAGTATAGAAAGGTGAAAAAGATAGTAGATCTGAAACCATTTAGTTGAGAGAGAAAAAATGAGTTATTACTTGAAGGAATGGCGGTGAAGGAGAAGAGAAGTAGGGCGAGAGCAAAAGCAGCAGCCATGGTATTTTTAGGTAATCTGTAAGGATAGTTGAGATGGGTGATGATGGGTTGAGAGAGAGGAGTGTGGGTGCGTGACAGAATGACAAAAATATAACATAGATTGGTGTGTAAGTGTGTGTGTATAGTGTATAGTGTCTAGTAAATGTAACTAGTAAAGGTTTTTTTACTAAACGGTGGGATAATACTTGGACCCGTTTGGTGTCGGCTTCGTTTGTCACTTGCCACTACTTTTTGTACTTTTTTTTTCATTTTTTATTTATGATAAGATTACTGTTAGGATCGACAAATATCAAATGTAATGTACTAACTACTTCTATGTATCTATTTCACTATAAAATTATAATAATATATCTACTAAGTAATTAGATGTTTAAACAAAATTTAATATAATATACTTATTAATTAAAAAATAAATATAAAAGAGAAAAATTAATAATATATCTATAAAGAATTTATATAGAAAGTTAGTGAAAAAATTTATAGGGGATTAATAAAATATAGAGAAAAACTTAAATAATTTAAAATAAAATAAAGGATTTTCAACAAATTTTATGAGAAAGTGATAATTAATTTTATTAATTGCGGAAGTTTCAAATTTAATAATAAATAAATAAATGAAAGGGAAGTTACAAAAATTAAGTACAAATTTTAACTCCAAAAGGTATTAAGAAATTTAATCATATAAATTTTTTAAGATTAAGAATATGAGTTTTTATTAATGGCATATTTTATTTATACAAAAAGTGGAATAAAAAGATATATATGTTAATGAAAACTAAATAATATCTTAATTAATTAAAAATAATAAAGAGAAATAATGAAATTAATTTTTTAATAACTATTTTAATTAAAACTAAATAATATCATAATTAATTAAAAATGATAAAGAGATAATAGAATTGGTGAATTAATATTTTTTAAATTAAAATTAAAATAAATTAATATTTATTTTTTTGATAAAATAAATTTTAATATTAATAATTATTAAATTAATCTTAATTTTTTAAAATTTTCTTAAAAGATTTAACAATTTTAATTAATAAGATTGATTAATAAGATATCAAAGTGAGAAATATGTACTTGGGCACAATTCCAAATAAATAAGATTTAGACACACTCTCATTAATATATAAATTAAGAGAAAAAAGAAATTAAATCATAATAGATAATTTGACTAAATTATTTTTGTTTTATTTTTTCCATTTGTGTGAATGTGCCGAAATCATTTAAATTTATGTTTGTGCCCAACTAAGAATTGCTCTATCAAAGTTTGGAAAATTACACACAATTTTAATGATAAATGATATTACCAACTTGTGAGTTTGGAACAATTTTTAAATATTAACCCATCCTAGACTTAGTATATAATTGTTTCAAATATTAGTACATCTTAGACTTAGTATATGATTGGATGCTCATTAATTTGATTAAAATTATAGTAAAAAAACACAAAAGCACTATATATTTATTTTTTTATTGTATCAATCCATCTCAAATTCACGTTACTGTGCCTATATTGTTCGTTTTGTGTATAAGAGTATTTACGAATTTGTCCTTTAGAAATATGCAGAGTGTTGGGATGTAAAATAATTTCATGTTAATACAAAAGTGAGTCTATGATAAGTTTGATCATGGACGTTGGAATGTTATTTTATATGATTATATGTTACATCCCAATTGTCTGCATATTTTTGTTTCGATTTGCACGTGATCAAAAGAAGACAAATTATTCTCTAAGTGATAGTGACCTATCAGAGTATTCTTGTTCCTTACGTTGACTGACCAGAGTCTAATACCTTCAGAGTCTTAGCCTTCAGAGGTTGACTTTTTATAGAGTCTGGTCTTCAGAAGTTTACCTCCTTCATAGTCTGAGTTTTTCAGAGTCTGGTTCTCAGATTCTGACCCTTAAGATTCTGGATCTTTTAGCTTCTTTTTAAATGTTAATTTTTAGTAGCACTACTAAGTTTATAGCAGAAATTTTAATCTATGATCATGTACACTTGAACATTTACTAGTATACCAAATTATTCTTTAAATAATTTGTTATCATCAAAACTTAGAAATATAGTACAAATTAATTTTGTTCCAACAATCTCCACCATTTTGATGATGATAAATACAAGTATTTAAGAACAACGGTTGTTAACTTAATCAACAACTTGACTTCAGGGTTTGAGGTTTGTAAGTCCCCCCTTAGACTAATAGTCCAAAAGGTGAGATTTGTAAGCTCCCCCTAAATTATGTCTAGGTTAATTAAATTTGATCTTTAAAACACACTAAATTATTCTTCAAAATTTAAGCAAGAATTAGTTCTTAATTATCGTATTTGGGCGCTTAAATACTTATTTACCTTACTCCACTTTTGTCATAAAAAAAGGAAATAGGAAAAGATATTGAAGAAAAATATCATTAAACCAAAGAAAATAATTGTGAGATTGTAAAGTATTTTAAAATAAGTCAATAATAAATAACAAAAAAATTCTAAAACAGCTGAAGGTGCTAAGTCCTAAAGCCTAGGGTACAACATTCTTCATAATCTTGAGGATAACTTTAATATTTGACCCCATATCATTTTGGCTTACAACTATATGCTTCAACTGAGTTCTAGGAGAAGAGAACTCATGGAGAATTCCATGTTTTTCACATAAGATTTCAAATTGCTCATTTTCAAATTCTCTTCCATGATCACTTCTGACTTTTAAAATACTTTATTCCTTTTCATTTTAAACTTGACTATAGAAAATGTTAAACACATCATATGTCTCATCTTTGGTTCTAAGGAATTTGACCCAAGTCCATCTGTTAACTAAACATTATTAAATGAAATAGAAGAATTATCAATAATACATGTACCAATTATCTTTCCTTTCTAGTTTCCTCTAAACCCCACAATTCCTCCCTCTTTCAGAGTTAGGGTTTGGAACATAGGCTTTTATCATGTTATATGTCGTAGGAAGCCATTGTACAAGTACCAAAACTCTTCCATTGTTTCTCTCTTGAAACGTATATGATGATAATATAATTTCAGGTTTAGGTACTCATAATCTTATGGGTCCTTTGGGGTTAGTTCTGAAAGGCTTTTTCTTATTTTGCACCTTAGCTTTCATGAAGTAGGGTTTTGGATCATTCAATATTCTTGGTTTAAAAGTTTTGTGTCTTGGATCAATTTTAGCCTTTGGTTGTGAACCATTCAAACCCTTAGACTCTAATGTATTAAGTTCTGGTCTGTTTGGAACTTTTGACTTTGGAGTCTTTGGTTTTGGTTTCTTTATAGTCTTTGATTTTGAAGTCTTTGGTTCTGGTTTCTTCGAAATCTTTGACTATATAGTATTTGGTTCTGACTAGTTCAGAACTTTTGCTTTATCAACAGCTGGTACAAACTAGGAATATAGCCCTTTTGATTAAAGCTTGAACAATAAGGTTTCATTGGTTTAACCAAAGTTTATACCCTTTGATTGAAAGAGTTTTGTGAAAACCCAATGCCTTATCCACTATTCCTGCTTACACCATAAATCATAGATGCAAGTTTTGTCTTATCAAAGCCATTTATGACAAATTCTTGAAGAACAACTTCATGCTCATATGGAGATTTATCATACATATTATTCATTATAGCAATATGAAATTTTTTTCTAAAACTTCATTTCTAATTTGAAAAGATTTTAATTCATTTTTCACTAGCTCATTTTCTTTTTCAAAATTTTGATGTCTCTGCCTTTATCTTAACAACGACCCATAAGGTATTGAATAAGAGTAATTAAATCATAACGAGATAGTTTAGAAAATATATCATGAGACTCTTCTTGACTTTTTCCTTAAGTTGTCCTTCTGATATCTTCCTTTCTTTGACTTTTCCTTCTGCAACTCTAGACAGTCAGCAATAAAGTGACTAGAATTCTTACAGTTCAAGCATTCATTCTGGTCATATTTCTTGTCTCTAGAACTTGATCCCCTAAAGCCACTGCTTCTTCTTGAGGACCTTTTGTTCTTCTTATCCAGATACTAAAACTTCTTAATTATAAATTCATCTCTTCATCATTTGATCCTTCTTTAGAACCTCCTACAGGAGAAACTTCTTCAGGTTCTAAGACTTGAGGAGACTTAACAGATTGACCAATAGATTTCAGCACAAGATACTTGGATTTATTTATAATTTCATCTCTCATTAGATTCATCTCATGACTTTGGACATTTCTTATCAAACTTTCAAGAATTACTTTGTTTAAATCCTTAGCTTCTTGGATGGTTGTCGCTTTTGGTCTATATTTGATCGGAAGACTCCTAAGATTCTTCTTGACATGAACAGAAGTTGTATAGATTTTGTTCAGAACTTGAAATCTACCAGATCTTGAAACCTTGAGAACATGGTTTCAGTATCTTCATCTTCCTTCATTCTGAAAAATTCATACTGTTTGACCAAAAGATTATCCATTGCGCATTTCACCAGATGATTTCCTTCATAGGTAGCACACAAGGATTCAAAAATGGTTTTTGCAGTAGACTTGTCAATTATATTGAGGTACTCAAAGTCAGGTAGGGCATCTACCAAAATTCCACACACTCTATGGTGTTTTCTATAGATCTTATTTTGAGCAGGTGTGAAACTTTTCCTATCACCAACCATTTCTGCTTCATCAACTGGGATATCAACGTCATCTTCAAGAATGTACCACAACTCATCATTAATGCTTATGATGTGAGCGTACATCTTAATTTTCCATCATTAAAACTCTATAGAATCTCTACTGAAGGTTAGAGGTTTAGAAATATAATTGTTCTTCTTAGAAGCACTATAATCATAGTTCACAACATCGTTTCCACCATTACCACCAGAGTTATCAACAAACATGTTTTTCTCTCAAGATCTTTTCTGTACCACTATTAAGTGTTTAGAGAACAAACCTTTCTCTGATGCCAACTGAAGGTGAGAAAAAAACAATAAGGGGGATTGAATTGTGTTAGATTTTTCTTTCTTATGTAAAATTCTCGTATCAAATTTT